TGAAATTTTCCTGGAAAGAGTATTTGCCAACTTAATGATATTTTAAGGCATGTGCCAGAGACTATGAGAGCAACCCAGAAGAGGAGTACCAGAGAGGTTTTAAGCATGGAAACATTTCTGGAATAACTGTTCATTCTTTTTTTTAATCTGATTTTTTTTTCATTTTTTAAAGTTAATTTATTTTGACAGAGAGAGAGAGAGAATCCCAAATAGGCTCTGCACCATCAGTACAGAGCCTGATGCGGGGCTCGAATCTGCAAACTGTGAGATCGTGACCTGAGCCAAAATCGAGTCAGATGCTTAACCGACTGAAGCCACCCAGATGCTCCATAACTGTTTAGTCTTTCAAAGTGACTACTTTGAAGGGAAAAGTGCTTAAATGGATAGGTTTTGATATATTCACTTTTAAGATTGGTCAGATGACTTTATAGTCTACAAGTCATAATATAATTTTGACTGGATCAGCTCATTTGTGATATCAGGTATGGAATTTATGTCTTGATAGAAAAAGAGTTCTATCATGAAGGAAAATGACTTGGACCACTTTTGTGGCCTGTGAACAGCTGTTCTCATGAATCATCTGAGGGAACCTGCTTTTTCTGAGATCCTTTACGGATTGGTTTTGCACTCCCATTCACGTAAGAGAAAAAAAAAGAAGTCTCAGTTACTGAGTTTAAACTCTGTGTCAGAATTTGCCTGAATAACATCTTACTTAAGCATCATCATAACCCTGAAAGGTATGTATTATCTCCATTTTACTGATGAGGAAGCTGGGTTTCAGAGAGGGTAAGGTGGTTGCCAAGGTGACACCAAACCTACCCTGGTTGGAAGCTTAGATTTTTAAAAAAATCTTTCAATATGTTTCTCTATTTGAGTACTCTCTCTATTTTTTTAGAAGCTTAAATTTTAATTCATATCTGACTCCAAAGACTTGATCAGCTCCTCACATATCACCACCTAGCCTTCCAAGTCAGCCAGATCCTAGTTAGTGCACAGATATTTATAGTTCTTGACACTATGGAGGCGTCTGATTTACCCTCCGAGACATCCTTCACACCCACCTTTCAGGTATCTGTCTCAGAAAAGTCTATGAGCACTCCCTGCACTGAACAGATTTACAAGGGGGGAAAGATTAGGACCCCCACTGAAGTATTGATTTCTGAGGAATAGGGGCTCCCCTTCAAGAGGAATAGGGGCTCCCCTTCAAGCTCTGCCTTTCTTACATACCCTCAAATCTTAGCCAGGCAGGAATAATGCTGTGATGGGCAGGTAATAGACTCCCACCCTTGCCCCCCAGCAAATATCTGTGTCCTAATCCCTGGAAACTATCGATGTGTTACCTGGCAGGGAAGAATTAAAGCTGCAGTGGGGCGCCTGGGTGGCTTAGTCGGTTAAGCGTCCGACTTTCGCTCAGGTCATGATCTCGCGGTTCGTGGGTTCGAGCCCCGCGTCGGGCTCTGTGCTGACTGCCAGCTCAGAGCCTGGAGCCTGTTTCAGTCTGTGACTCCCTCTCTCTCTGACCCTCCCCTGCTCACGCTGTCTCTCCCTCTCTCTCCTAGAAATAAATAAAAAAAACATTAAAAAAAAAAAAAAAAGAATTAAAGCTGCAGAAAGAATCAGGTTGTTAACCAGCTGACAGTAAGGTAAGGAGAGAGTACATTAAATATGGAAGAGGGTAACAGAGTGATGCAATCTGAGAAAGATTGGCCCTTGCTGACATTGAAAATAGAAGGGGCCACAAGCCAAGGAATGTGGGCAGCCTCTAAAAGCTAGAAAAGGTGACATTCTCGCCCAGGGCCTCTAGAAAGGAACACAGGCTTCCTGACATTGAGGCCACCTCAGACTTCTGACCTGCAATTATAAGATAACCTGTGTTGTTTTTAGCCACTGGGTTTGTGGTAATTTATTATAGCTGTAGTAGGAAACTAATACAAAGGCCAACCTCACTTGCTTTAGGCCTGCCTGCCTTAACATCAGCACAAGAGCTTGTGGGTGGAGAGGAGCCAACATCAACCCAAGTGTCTGTAGGCGGTCTGGCCAGGATAGCACTGGTGAGGAGGTGGAGCAGAAGGGAGGTCTGGAAGGAAGTGCAGCTCTGGCCCCAGGTATGGCCGGGATCCATGGACTGAGTCCCAGCCTCCAAACTGTGGTGTGAGGCCACACGCTTCAACAAGGTGAAGTGACCAGCTGAAAGACCACTTCACCTTTTTGAAGTATGTGGCCTCATTTGTAACATATGGGCAGTTAAACCTGCCCCGCCTGCAGGGTGTGGTGAGGACAAAACGAGTGGGTACGAGAGAACGTAGGCATTACTGCTGTACGCGTTTTCAGTTCTGGGGAGTGAATGATAAAGTTGTACCTCAGTACTGTGGAAGAAGTCTGATCCACCACTAGTATTTTTTTCAATAAGCGTGTCGCTTTTCAACATTTACTTCTAAATTTGCAGTTAACAAGAAAATCCAAGGAAACAGAATGACTCATTGACTCAAAGGTCAATTGATGTTTAACTGTATTTCATGGAATCCTACCATGTTAACAGCCAAAGAGGACCTTAATGATAATCTCATTGATCTTTCAAAGAAACAGATTCAGGTTCTGGAAAAGTAAGAAACCTTTAGAAATGCAGTAGTTCCCTGATGAGTGGCAGCAAAATAAAAGCCCAGTCTTTATGAATCCCTTCCAAGATGTTAAGACATGGAAGGTCATTTAAAATCGAAACGCAGCTCAAACCAAGCCAAGCCCTTCCCTTCTCCAGCTCCCAGGATGTGTAAAGGGCCCCAGCTGTTTCAGCCCTGGTTGTTAGTACTCTGCTTTGCCTGCCCCTCCTCCCTGCCAGAGATTAACTTAAGGAAGTGACTGAGCACTCTACATCATGGCAGGGGTTCAGGGCATTCCGCACCCCCATTCCAGCCACCCACCTCACCCCTGTGTGCACCGCACTCAAAGGCAGCACCTGGGTGGCGCTCTTAGTAAGCTCAGTCACGTAAGTCAGAGAAGCCCTGCTTCTGAGTATAGGCAAGGTGTGTCGCGATTACCCATTGCAATAACTCTGTGAGCCGACTGTGTCACAGTCATAACCCTCCTGTACTGTCACCCGTCAGCAATGACAACTGCCTTTGAGCTGTCACAGGCAGAGAGGCCACTGAAGGCTTACAAGTCCTGACAGCCCTCCTGCTTTGCCGGACGAGCCAGCAGAAGTCCCCAAGGCCAAAGAGGCACAGTTATCTATAGAGGTTGGAGTCAGGTGAACCATCATAGCCACCATCTCCTGGGTGTGGACAAGCCACTCTGGGGCTTTTTTTTCTCCTCTGTCAGATGATAGCATTAGACTGGAAAAGGGCTACATTTTAAAAGTGGGGATTACATCAGTTCTTGTGTTGGAGGTTTTGTTTATTTTAACTAAGGAAGTGGAATGCTGAAGGTCAGGAGTTCTCATTTGAGAGATGTAAATCATTTTATTTTTGATTATAAAAGTAATTCATGCTTGGTATAAAAAACAGTACAACAATGCAGAAATATATAAAAGAGAAAGTAAATTCTCTCCCTTTTACTCCCACAACCAGCACTAAGTTAGCAGGCTCCTGATATTGTTCCCTCTGTCCCCTGAACAGAGGCTACTGCTGCTGCCATTAGTCATCTTTTCCTGAAGGAGCAGATAAAATTCTAAAACTCAGTCTTCGCTGGCATTAATGGTTCTAACAGTTGGCAGAATAGAGGAGTAACATTAATAGAAGTTCCTTTTTCCTTCTAAAAAATTCAAATTCACATCATATAGCCCAACTTTTAAATTCACGTGAAGAAGTTAAATTTCAGTACTTAATAGAAATAACATACTATTATTAGAATGATGAAAGACAAAAGAATAAAATACATTAAAAGATTTATGGCAGTTTTACTAAGATGACAAGACTTTGGGGGATTGTTTTTTTAAATTTTTTAAATGTTTATTTTTGAAGAAGAGAGACAGAGAGAGAGAGAGAGAGAGAGAGAGAGAGAGAGACAGAGCATGAGCTGGGAAGGGGCAGAGAGAGAGGGAGACACAGAATCCAAAGCAGGCTCCAGGCTCTGAGCGGTCAGCACAGAGCCTGTTGCAGGGCTTGAACCCACAGACTGAGATCATGTCCTGAGCTGAAGTTGGGACGCTTAACTGACTGAGCCACTCAGGTGCCCCGGGGGATTGTTGCTTTCTGATTTCTTCCTAGATTGGTGCACTGTGTTTGTATTACTTGTGTAATGAAAAAAAGTGTTTTAAGAAAAACATTCCTGATAATGACAGACTAGTACAATTGATTGGATTCAAACCAAACAGCCCAATAATGGACACTTACATATAAAATGCCACGAGTCCAGGGAAGTAAAGAATCATCTCTAAATTAGGAATCAAGGAAAGCTTCATGCAGGCAGTCAGATTTGAGCATGGTCTTTGAAATGGGTGGGATTTTTTATACTCAGAGATTAAAGGGGTATTTTAAGTGGAGGGAAAGCCATAAGACCAGGGCATGTCCAGGAACAGAGTCCAGTTTGGCTGGAGCATACAGTACATATAGCGGAAGGGACAGATAAGACTAGCACCAGCGTGGGGGCACTTGAATGTCAGGCCACAGAGTTGAAGCTTAGAGATGGGTGATGGGGTGGGGGTGGGGGGGTTTGAGCAGGAATTTTATATAATCAGTGTTGGCTTAGAACAGTTCTTTGGCCAAGCTGAGTGTTATGAAGGGGACAGCTTGGGAAGACAAGGATGGGAAGCTGAACCCCAGATGAATGGTAAACGAGGCCTGAATTTTGGCAGATGGCATCAGGGGAAGGCAGGTGTGACACTTTATAGAAATAGACTCATTAGATTAGGGGCCCAGGATTAAGTGAGATAAATTCATTATCTTTTTTTCTTTTAGAGAGAGTGAGTGTGTGAGTGGGGGAGAGGGGCAGGGAGGTGGAGAGAGACTCCTAAGCAGGCTCCATGCTCAGCAGAGAGCCCAACACAGATCCCACAACCCTGGGTTCATGACCTGAGCCCAAATCAAGAGTCGGATGCTCAACCCACTGTGCCACCCAGGTGTCCCTCAGTGAGATGAATTCAAATCCCACTCTTCCTCACCGTTACTTAGTTCCCTGAGCTTGTCTTTTCCTCTGCCAAATGGGCATGAGAATAATGATGTCATGGGGTTGCTTCCCATGCACTTATTCCTGTAAAGCATTTGGCACAGCTCTGGCATATGGTGAATGCTCAGCACATGGTAATGTCACTGACAGTATTACCTGGAATTAGAGTTAGGGAGGAAGCTGGTGTCGGCTCAGTGACTAGCAAGGGAGATAGTACAGCAGCCAGGAAGGTAGAGACTGGATTTGGATCTCAGTGCTACTAACCAGCATGATCTTGTACAAGCTACTTAACCCCTCTCTATCTCCGTTTCCTTGGCTGTAAATGGGCACGGTATTAATACTTCCTCAAGGAGCTGTTATGAGAATAAAGTCAAATGATACATGTACAGTGTGCAGTATATGCCTAACACAGTTTCAGAGCCCCATAAATATTATTGGGTGAGGGGTGGGCGTGTGGAACTGAATAGATTTGCCCTTTCCATCTGCAGTGGCAGGCTATACAAGGATGGGTGAAGACACGCAGCAGGGACTGGACACGTAGGACAGAACTTGGGAAGAAAATGGGAGGCTGGAGGTAGTCAGGAGTCACTGGCACAGAGACACATAAGCCAAGAATGAGCACATAAATCGGCTTAAGGAAACAATCAGACAAACCCAGAATAAAGGACCTTATATTAAGACAGAGGGCTGGGACTCTCAAAAAGTGTCATGGAAAAAAATAAATGAGCTATTCTAGACCAAAAGAGACTAAAGTTATAATCAAAAAGTAATGTATGAACCTTGATTGGACCCTGTTTTTTAGGAAAGATACAATTTGAGATAATGGGGATATTTTAGAGGCTATTAGGATAAATAGGCCAAAATACTTCAGGATGAAATGCCATATATGTTTGGGTAGAGGGCAGAAAAAATAAGGCAAAATGTTAATAAGTGTTCAGTCTAGGTGGAGGGTATATGCGGGTGTTCATTGTACTAGCAAGATGAAGGCTGAAAATAAATCATATTCAGCTTAAGGGTCCAGCGTAGAATGGGAAGCTGACCTCTAGTAAAGGGCTGAACTATGGGGAGGAAGTACAGGCAGCAAGGATAACTGGGCCCCTCTTGGACAGTTAAGCTGGGGGCAGCCAAGCTGGGCGAGTCTTTTATCTTTTTAGTCCAAGGGGAGCCTGGGTGCTGCTGAGGAGCAAGAGTAGTCTGGGGAAGGGAGGGGATGAGTCAAGGGAAAGGAGAAACCGTAATGGAGCAAAGGTCCAGTAAAGGTGGAAGAGCATTCGAATGGATGAAAACAGGAAGAGGTGGAGGTGACCACAGAAGGGAGAGACGTCTTCTCCTGTGGCCAGAAGTGAGGGCTGTCATGTGGGGAACCAAGCTCCCCTCCTAACAAGGGAGGGGGGTCATGTTTTGCTAGTAAGAAGTGTGAGGCAGAAACTCACCACAGCTGCCACTGGGTCTGAAACGGAAAGGAAACAGCTGGGGTGAGGCAGGGAGCGCTTGGTGCTGTCTTCAAGCTGGGGAGTAAACAGGGGTTCTCCCAGACTGCTCTGATGAGGCACTTAGGATGACAGGGTAAAAGAGCAGTTGTGGAAGCTAAATGACCCCCTTTTCAGAACTTCGTGGCGGAAAGCCAACTCGCCAAAGATTTATTGGTTAGGAAATGAATAAAACTCTTCTGGGATAAAACGCCCGATCCTCATTTCCATGCCCCCTCCACCCTGGGGTGCCCTGGCGGGTGTACAGCCACGTGGTGTGATAGTCTTTGGTACATAGGGAAATTAAAGGACTCCGGACAATGTGGGATGGAGCCGTCCTTCCAAAAGCAGTCGGAGGAAAACCACCTCCTGCACCGAAGCCCGACAGCAAAGGAGGCCAGGCCTGGAGCTTGTGCTCCCAGGCACCCTGCCGCGGGGCGGGGAGGACACAGCGCATTAAGTGATTTTTGGTTCTGCTCTGGTTGCCTAAGTGCTTCTCGAGGGTCCACATTTGGAGATCTTGGCGCGCCTGCGACTCAGCTCCCGGATGAGGCTGATCCGCGCACCACCCCTGGAGTAGCGCTGGCACGGGCGGGGTTGGGCGTGAAAGCGGCCCACACCTACAGGACCTTGGTAATTATGTAGCCGTCCCTCTCCCCCAAGGGCTCTTGCTTGAGCGGAGTCTGCACCGGGGTAGAGGCCAGGGCGCCTTCGCGGCGGCTAACTTCCCGCAGCCGCTCCTGCAGCGCCTCCCTCTGGGCCTGCAGCTCCCGCCGCGCCCGGGCCGCCGCGCGCTCCTCCTCCTGCAGGGCCCTGCGCCTCCGCTCCAGGGCGCGCTCGCCCTGCTCCACCGCCGCCTCGCGCCGCGCCAGCTCGCGCTCGCGCAGGCTGCAGCGCACGGCGAGCGCGCCCATCTGCTCCAGCAGGCGCGCCCAGTCGCCGTCGGCCGCGGCGGGGAGCCCGGGAGGCGGCGGCGGCGGCGGCGGCACCGGCAGTCCCGGGGCGGCGGACGGCGAGTTGCGCGCGGAGCTCTTCTCCAGCTCCCGTCGATGCGCGCTCTTGAGGTGCCTCCACAGCGCCGGCGTGCCCGCGTGGAAGCCCGGGCCGCGGCTCACCTGCTCTCCGCACAGCCGGCAGGTGGCCCACTGGCCCGCCGCGTGGCCCGGGCGCGCGGGGGCCAGGTGAAAATACCCCCAGGCCTCGCAGTATGGCGCCCCCAGGCGGCCGGGAGGGGCGGGAGCCAGGCCGGGACACGGGCCGCCCTGCGCCGCGGCGCCGTCGGCCCCGCAGCTGTCTTCCATGGGCGTCGTCGGCTCGTCACTCCTCATTCTCTCCGCGGCGTCTGCGTTCCAGGGAGAAACCGGTAAGGCCAGCCACCAGACTACCCCCCCCCACACACACACCCCACACACCCCCCTCCCACCCCCCGTGTGACCAGCCACTGCCGAGGAGGAAACCTGGCTCCCTTTTCGTTCCAGATGAAAACCCTGCGGTCCGGTCCGTTCAGGTAGCACCCGGGGTTCTTTTTCAGTGTTAACTGTTTATTCCTCAGAAAATGTTCAACGTGTCCCGCCCTGCTTCCCTTAACTAGGAACGCTCTTCGGAATCACGTGGGTCTGCAGCCAGCAGGTATTTACACTAAAAACTGGGAAGCCAGGCTTCTTCAGTGGGAAAAACCAGCTAAATAAGTGCTGTTGTCTGTATGAGTTTTAACTAGTCTCCTTTGGTCTCTGTTTTTTATAAAAATATTTTTATTTATTTTTGAGAGACAGAGCGTGAATGGGGAGGGGCAGAGAGAGACACAGAATCTGAAGCAGGCTCCAGGCTCTGAGCCGTCAGCACAGAGTCCCACATGGGGCTCGAACTCACAAACCATGAGATCATGACCTGAGCCGAAGTCACAGGCTTAACTGACTGAGCCACCCAGGTGCCCCCCTTTCTCTCTTTTAAAAAGTTACTGTCTTTTCAGAATAAGAGCAAGGCTTCCTTTCGTTTACTTCTCTTAGTGTTAGGGAACAAACTGTAGAAATTAGCTGAAAAGAAGGCTTTGGAAATGAAAAGTGTGTTTCTTAAACTTTAGGGGTGAAAGTGCCAGTTGGACAGCCTTTTAAAAACCTCTAAATGAGGGCACTTTTATCAAAATAAGCCTTTGTTCTGTGGATTTAAAAACAATATGCTTATGAGGAAAATGGCAGCACTAAAAACCACTAAAACTTTAGTTTTAAAAATATATGTCTTTAGGAAAACAAAGATACAAAGCAATTTGCTAAATTGTTACCTTTAAATTAGATATTAGGCCATGTCCTGTGGGCCTTGGGGGGTCCCTGTCATTGCCTCATGGTAAGTTCTCAGTGAGACACACTGCAGCATGAATCCTGAGTTCTGAAGAGCCATCAGCAGTGCTAGGAGTAAATTCAGAGGACAGGCAGTGAGTAAAAAGAAATTCATCAAACTGCCCCCTAAACACAGATACCAGAAATGCTGGCTAGCACCGTGTTGGAGTGTTCATTTTCTTCTGACCCTGTGACAGGTGCTCCAGTTACAGAACAGAATTTGTTTTCTTTATTGCTCTTCTCAATGCCGTGTTCCCCTCTGTATATTTAAAAGATGGAAAGCTTGATCAATACTTGTAATGAAGGAAGAAAATAAAGAAAAGTAATAACTTCTTGCTCTGTCCAACAAATATGTTGTTAAAAGGATCCAGACACATGGGGTGCCTGGGTGGCTTAGTCGGTTAAGCGTCTGACTTTCGCTTAGGTCATGATCTCGCGGTTCGTGGGTTCGAGCCCCGCGTCGGGCTCTGTGCTGACTGCCAGCTCAAAGCCTGGAGCCTGTTTCAGACTGTGACTCCCTCTCTCTCTGACCCTCCCCTGCTCAAGCTGTCTCTCTCTCTCTCCTAAAATTAAATAAAACATTAAAAAAAAAAAAGGATCCAGACACAACCCAGTGACTGTCACTGCAAAGTCTTTTCTGTTAAAAACAGTTTATCACAGGGGCGCCTGGGTGGCTTAGTCGGTTAAGCGTCCGACTTTCCCTTAGGTCATGATCTCCCAGTTCATGGGTTCGAGCCCCGCGTCGGGCTCTGTGCTGACTGTCAGCTCAGAGCCTGGAGCCTGCTTCAGTTTCTGTGTCTCCCTCTCTCTCTAACCCTTCCCTGCTCATGCTGTCTCTCTCTCTCCTAGAAATAAATAAAACATTAAAAAAAAAAAAACAGTTTATCACAGCAATAACCTATCAAACAAGGCAGGGGGGTAGAAAAGGTGAAGTCGGTTTTTCAGGAAGTGACTTCACAAAGGACCAAATGTGTGATTCTAAACAAATTTGTTTTGAAAACTTAAAAATAATAAGAGAACATGTGGAAGACTTGGAGCTGGTCTGAGAACTTATTTCAGGGGGAATATCAAGGTCAAGATGCACTGTGAGACAGCCAGTGGCTACTCATACTGTCAGGGTTTGAACCAGCAGCAGTGGAGATGACACAGTTCCAGGATATCTCTGGTTAAACTTAACTGGGAATGAGGGAAGGCATAGTTGGGAACAGGAAAAATAAGTTGCTGTAATAGCAGTAGTGCTCCGTGTAAGCTTCTATTTCAATTGCTAAGATTCGTTACAGATCTATTACAGTTTTCTAAGCCTCATTTTTTCCCCACCAAGCTAGTCTAATCAGGCTCAGGCACAACCTTTAATATATCGCTTGTATTTTTAAAAAAGAACGAATTTACCAGAATCATCAAGACAAGTACCAGGCCTCTTCTAACAATAGACATAGCTATTTACATACCTTCTGATACAACAGGCATTGATTTGAATATGGTTACTCATGAAGGCCAATTACTATAAAAAGTCTTTAAAAATTAAAGGCAAGACTTCTTCCAAGAGATTTACTAAATCCCTGAGGTTCACAAAAGGGGAGTAATAGGATGAGGAGGGGAGGGACAGACCACCTTCGAGAATAATTTTCGTTATGCTTAGTGAACATTATGGTTATGTAACACTATGGTTAGTAAACAGACCAGATTTTAGTATTAGAAATTGTTTTTGTGACCCAAATTTACCTAAAAAATTTTTTTTTTAAAAATTCCATTTCCTCTACATTGGAATCTGTTCTTTTCAGAGTTCCTTTTTTTTTTTTTATTACTAGACATACACAAAAGTGGAGAGGATAGTATTATGAATCCTTGTCTTTTTAATAAATTAAAAAAGATTTAAAGGTATTGTAGAATATCAAGACTATCGTTTTGAATTCTGATATGCTTTCTTGAGCTGGGGGCTGAAAACTATACATAAGCTGTAGACTGTCTTACCTGTGCCAGAGTCTGAGACTGATCATTACTGATGTGACCCTAAAAGTGCCAGAGGTGACCAGTTAGTCATGCTTTACCTCCCTACAAGATGCCTCTGAGTTTCTTCAAAATCTGGGGTGCCCAGAGGAGTGCCACCTACATGAATGCCATCTGTTATAAGAGTGAAGGTGGAAACAAGAGTGAGAAGCACTGATTCTGATGTCTTAATCCTTTAGACTTAGCGGATTGCCTCATCTGAGCCAGGGACAAGCAGCACCATAAATGTCGGCCAGCACAGCGCTGCCCCTCCAAGGGCAGCAGAGGGACATCCTCTGCCTTGGCAGGCCTTCGCTCTCGGAGGTCTTAACCGGTGGAAGGCAGCACAGTACTGAACTGCCTCACCTTCTCAGTCCTCCGCATACAGCTACATTCTGCCTCAATACAGTCTTCTGTTCAGACTAAGTATCTAAACAGTGACTAGCGGTCTGTGGCCACAAGTCATAACAGCCTTCCTGGTTCTGCTAAACAACCCCTCAGCTTGTTTCACCTTTCCCTGCAGTGCAGAGGGAGGGAAGCCTCCTAGCCAACCATCTTGGCTTGGAAGAGAAGCCTTAGTATCTTCAGTTACAACCCTAATACACAAAGAGCTCTTACATACTGTCAAGAAAAAGACATATAACCTAAGAGAAAAATGGGCAAGAAATATGAGTAGGCAAATGACCTAAGAAGAGAATCAGATGGCCAAGAAATTTGTGAAAAGATGCACGTCACTTCTATTCAGAGAAGTGCTGTTAAAGTCACAATAAGGTCTCATTTTACATCCATCGCACTAACAGAAATGAAGAGGTCTGTCGGTTAAAGCTAGAAGGGAGGCCAAGAAAAGAGTACATTTATGCATTACTAGTGGAGATGTGAAGGCTTTTAGGAAAGCAGTCTGGCAATTTCTATTAGTTAAAAATAGACGTAATCAGGGATCCCACTCCTGGAAATCTGTTCTGTAGAACTGAAAGTACTAATATGTAAAGTAATGTATTCGGATATTACAGTATTATTTGGAATGGCAAAAAATTGGAAACATGGAACGCCTGCCGGCTGGAGAATGCAGAGTAAACAATGGGTGTTCACACCAGGGAATACTGTGCAGCCATTCAAAGGATGGAATGGAATTCTGCTAGAAGACCTAAAGCGATTTCTGTTGGAACTCTTCAGGGAGAAAAGCTAGATGAAGAAAAGTATATATAAAGGATATCATTATTATTAAATAATATATAGATCTGTGTCAGGTATATAAAGATTTTATGTATATCTGAAGAAAAATAAGGAAGGAGATACACTGTTGGTTAAGGGACGGTTGAGGGTGTGGCAGCTAGTGTGAAAGGAGAAAGGGAAGCAGTCAACACAAAAGAGAAATAAGGGACTAGGAAAGCATGTGCATCTGTGGACACATTTAGGTAGATTATGTATACCACAGCATCTACACATATGTGGGGAGCAAGATGGAGTCACTCATGTGAGGCAAGGATGTAATGAATCAGGAAAGCAGACAAGGGTGAAGAGCTGAGAACAGATACTGCTAGAACTGTTAACAGCCTGGGGGTACCCAGAACTGATAACCAGCAAAGCCAAGAGAGCCTGGAAGAACTGAGAATTGATAATCATTAGACCCAGAAGAAGTCTGAAAGGGCTAGACTGATCAAACTCCTTTAAAATGGGAAGATTTTCATAGCAAACCCCCGGATTCTCTAGACGCTGACCCTTCCATGTCTCACTGCATCAGGCAACTGCCACCGAAGGCTCTGCCTGTTTCATCTCCGAAAGTGACAGAGATCCTTCACTGCTTGAACACAGTAAGCAGGAAGCTCAGAGTGGATCCACACTGGTCAAGGCCTCATCGCAACTGTGTGCTCATGTACGGACTTTGCTTTCATTCATTAACTTACCCCTTACTGTATCTTTTTTGTTTTGTGTGTCATGTACGACACCAAGTTAAATGCGTGTTGGAATGTCTTTGAATTTGGAATTCTGAATCTGCTTTACAATTATGTTAACCTTGCTTTATGATTAAATAAATAAAGCTAGCATTGTGGGAAGATACGACTTGTGTACATGCCTTCATAGAGTGCTCGTGACAGCATAAATACAAAATAATTTAATGAAACAGTCCTCAGGTATGTGAGCTCAGGCTGGGCTAAGCAACCTTGACTATGGAGACTGGAGGGGACAGTCATATGGGGCATAGTGTGCTGCCATCTGGCCATGGAGGGAACCCAGTGTGGAGAGTTGCCCAGTGTCAGGTGGTTTGCTGTACCCTGCCTGCGCAGAAGGAGAGTCTGTGTCCACAGGAGATGGAGGTGCCATGGAGAGCTGCCCACCTCACTCATCTCCCTGGTACAGGCAAGCACTGCAGGGACGCTGCATTCAATGTAATTAACCTGTCTTGACTTTTCTTAGACCCAGCTCACCACGTCCCAATCTCCCCATCTGTCAAGGGAAATGATAAGATGATCTGCCTCTAAACTGGTGGTTGAAATCAAATAATGCAAACGATCTCACTATTGGACTCTCCACTGCTATCTCATAAATTCAAGGCATGAACAAAAAGAAGCTACCAGCATTTACTGCTCAAACATGCCCAAATTAAGATCTTAGTAGCTAAAGGCGGTATTATTTCTCTCTGACGTTCTATTATTCAGTACAATAGGTAGTTTAAGTTGGAAGAATTCTCGTGAGGATTTCTCAATATAAAAAACAGAATCAGAGATCCACCTTCTCTCCCCAACGAAATTTATTTTCATATCCTAAATTGACCTGCATGCAAATTAGGTTGCTAACCTCTCAGGGAGAAAATAATAGGGGGAAAAACATGAGGAGGTCTGGTTACCTGGAGTCCTTTGATATGCATTTCTTCCTTACCAAGTACCCAACAAAACACACACACCTATTAACTATATGGTTAGCTACTATGAAGAAACTGAAAAATAAGAACTCCCTTAATTTTTCCTTAGCTTTTTTTTTAAAGACGGAGCTGGTCTTTTTGTTTTGTTTTTGTGTTTATTTTTGAGAGAGAGAGAGAGAGAGAATCCGAAGCAAGCTCCTTGCTGTTGGCACAAAGCCTAACGTGTGGCCTGAACCGAGAAACCATGAGATCATGACCTGAGCCAAAGTAGGGCGCTCAACAGACTGAGTCACCCAGGCACCCCTTTCCTTTAACAGTTTTTAAATTATAAGAAAGGTGCCAGTGAATGTGATTTTGCTTACACCCATTCACTCCATCCACTCTCATTCAAGTTGCTCATTGTGCACCTGCTCAGGGTCAGGCAAGGTCTTACTACCCAGGATACCAAGAACCACATAGTCTATCTCCTCCAGAAGCTCACCATCTAGTGAGGAGAGATCCTTCCAGCAGTAATTCTGATACAGGTGGTAAAGGTCATAGCAGTGTTCACTCATGAGGGTGAATTCCATCACACGGTGTCCATGCTGGGAAAAGGGTAGGCCTTTTCCACAACTGTTCATGCAGAGATTACTGCTTCAGCATCTCTTCCCTTCCCCACCTCCTTCAGGGCCCCAAAACATATGCTGACTCTCACCAAGTTCAAGTTCTTTAGTCTTATAAATAGGCTTCCAAGCTCGTATTTTTTTTTTTAATGTTTATTTTGAGAGAGAGCAAGAACATGAGTGGGGGAGGGGCAGAGAGAGGGAGACAGAATGCCAAGTAGGCTCCATGCTGTCAGCACAGAGCCTGACAATCTCACAAACCCTGAGATCATGATTTGGGCCAAAATCAAGAGTCAGACAGTTAACCGGCTAAGCCACCCAGGTGACCCCCAGCTCATATTTTAAAATAAAATGTCTTTTTTTTTTAAAGTAGGTTCCATGCCCAACATGGGTCTTGAACTCAATACCCTGAAATCAAGAGTTGGGCGCTCTACTGACTGAGCCAGCCAGGTGCTCCTAAAAAAAATTTCTTGATGTTAAATGGAAGTAGCTAGCATGAAATTAACGGGAAAATTTTTAGTCCAGTTTCAGAGGGGAAAAAAGCTGAAAGAAAAGTAGATTTTAGTTATTTCCTGGAAGAGGGGAGAGTAGTATAGTACCCCTCTGCTCTTTCCCATCGTGAGTTTCACTTGAGTATCCGTTATCTGGAAGGGATGATAAGAAAGTTAAAGCCTGTGGAAGATAATAAATTCACATGAATTACTTCAAATTGCATTTGAAGTTTTATTTGCAGTTCTCTGAAGTTCTAGTCTTCTAATAACCTATCAGATTAAAATGAAGATTCTTAAGTATGATCTCCCTGAATATCAGTATAGAGAATAAGGGAGATGAAAACCTGGATGAGTGATTTGTGTAAATATGTGTATATACATAAAATACATGCCTGTAACATTACGAATCATCCTATACAACAAGTTAATGTTTTAATTTTATACTTACTTGAACACAGACAAAATATTAGGCAGGCTAAAGACCAAAGAACCAGGCAGTCACAAGGGAATAACAGATGAATTATGGCTGTATTTGTCCTTCCACAGCCAAGGCTAATCACTTCAGAGGGATTAATCTGGCAGGGTTACAAACAAATATGTGTAGGTTGAGCCTGGATCTTAGTAAGAAATTCACAGTAATGTGAAATCCACATAGACTTGTGTGGAAACAGTAAAAACATTTTCATTTACTTCATTCACCAGTAACTTTAATCAAAGCAGAACATAATTAAAACAAATAATTAGCCTGGACAGTTTTTCCAAATACCAAGGAAACCACAATTCATTCATCTGTTACTTGTCCATCTCTGTAGAAATACTAGTTTACTACCATGAATTAATCTGTTTATAAAAAAAAAATAGGGACAATGAGAAAAACTAGTCTGGAATCACCAGGCTGAAGACTTAGATGAAGTTAAAAAGCAAGTAAAAATGCCTCCAAACTGTAAAGTGTGGCTACTTGGCTCAAACAAGAAAGGGTGAGTGTGAAAATATTAGATAAAGGTTACACATGGACTGTAAAAAAAAAAATTTACTGGACCCACAGCTAATTATATGGAGAGTCAGAGATGTTCTCAACATGTCTTAAGCCAAACTCTTAGATACCTCTACCGTTAGCTAAAAGGCTCTGATGTATTCTCTATTAGTGCATTTTTTTAAATGAAATTTTCTACCCTAAAGTGGACCTTTATTTCAGGCCTACATTACTTTAATACATTTGTTCCTGAAAAGAAGGGTGTTGTTCCATTTTGTTTTGTAAAATGCATCCTTTGATATGAATTAGAAGAATTTAAGACTGCCCTACTTTGAAGGCCTTTGCAACATAAAGAATTTTTCATTGAGAATTACCTTGTTTTGGCTCTTGGCCATTTTACACATTATTGAATATTTTTTATTGCCCTTTGCCTCAAACTATTTTTGGCCAAAAACGGTGTACAAATAATACATTAATGCAAAGTGCATAAAACAATTACCCTAATTATGTCAATTTATTAAGCTCTTTCTACACAGCGTCTCTTAAAGACCATATCCATATAGTCTGGGCTAATTAGAAGTTCGGATGGTGGTTATTTTTTTTTCTTTCATGGAAGGAAAACTAATTTTGCTTGGTAACCTTCGAGCATTTGGCTACTGTAAGCACTTACAGCAAACTGCTCCTGTATACTTAGGGAAGACAAAATTCTTTTGTTTGAGTATCATGGAGGTGGGGGATGGGATTGTTTGAGCATTGGGCTCGCATTCCGTTTCTAGTCTCTAAAATTAGAGACACTGAGAAAGTCTCAGATAAAGATACACCACAGGGCTCCCAACCACTTGCGCTGTTAAAAGTGTGACTGCAAAAAAGGCAGTTTTACTCCAAAGGAGGGCAGACGATTTTCGATATCCCCAAATAACTTTTTTGTAGGGAAACTGTGGAGAAGGAGCAAAAATGAGGTCTTGAAAGAAACTGATCGGTGCCTTTCTTCAGAATTTGGGGCCACACGCATCTTTTATACTAGGGATAACCTGACCATAGCGAAGGAAGGGCACGTCCGGCAGCCTCTGCACAAACCAGCCGGTGATAATATCGGACAGTGGCGTTTGCCTTGCCGGTCGAAGGCTCACCTGCGGCCCCCAAAGCCTGTGCTGGTCCCCCCACCCCCACCCCCGCTCCTTTCGCCGGCCCCCCCACCCCACCCTGGCCCCTGGGCTTGCCGCGACCAGACCCAGCCTCCGGGAGCGCCACAGCATGCGTGGCGGCGCACACTCACCCCATCACCCCCAAAGCGTGGCGGGAGCGGAAGGCGGGCTGGGAGTCTGGAATCGTCGGTCCCCTCCAGGATCCTCGCAGACATTTTGTCCTGTGCAGAAACCTCCGCGCGCGTCTCCCTTAAAGACACAGCGTTCAATTCACGCGTCTGGGGGTGAACGGGGGGGATGGTAACGTGTGACCTATAGGGGAAAGGGTTGGGAATCACTCCTTCCCCATCCAGGTTCACAAGTAACAGACTTGTGGTTGCCAAGGTTTAAAAATGTTGCAATTGTTTAGTGCTTTTTAAAAATGTAATTTTTATTTTATACTTTTACATTAATCTTCCAAGACCTGGATTCCTGTCTTGAGTCTGAGTGCAGTTTGCATCCTTTCAGATTCAAGGTGTCTCATGGTTCAAGTTGTTACCAGCGAACCAGAGTCAGGACAGATAAAGGTAGGGCTTATTGGTGCTCTGAAACTTAATAACGCTAGCGCTGTCTTTTCATGGATTATGTTGAGATAACAACCCCTACCACTCAGTTATTTACAATTACAAAGATTCATTTCTCAAGCAAATTACAACTGCTGCAGGCAGCTTTGGCTCTATTCCACTAGTTTCCTTTACTCCAGGCTCCAGGATGAAAGACCAACTTTTTTGGGATACACTCACCCACCGTGTGCTGGAACCAACTTTGAGGGAAGAGAAGTCCTGGTTTGTAGTGTTTGCTATTTCCGTGTTGTAAATACTCCCACCATGGCTGATTTCAAGCTGCTTTTAACAAGTTTAACAAGAGACTTGCCTAATTTCTGGAAATGTTACAATCAGCTCTTATACACCACTTGCAAATGCTGCTCTTAAAACTTAAAACAGCTCACATTCTGGGCACCTGGATTCAGCTCACATTTTATTGGTCAAAGCAAGTCATATGACAAACCTGTTGTCAATGGGCCAGAAAGTACATTCTCAAAAGGAAACCTTGCAAGTTATATGACAATGGGCAGAGACTGTATAATCCTCTTAAAAGGAGGAAGAGGAATTCTTGGTTACAATAATATAATCCACTTTACATGCTTTGGTTCAAGTAATTTTTTTCAACCTTGTTTTCCTATAAATTAGAAATTTTTCTAAGTTTCAAAGCCCATTAATGGACTTTCTCCTTACCATTCCAAGAATGGTTTCAGAAGAAACTGGTTGGGTGTCTTAAAAGGGATAATTTTGCAATGTGAAGATTAACTGTCAGGTTATTGTTTTTCTTCTCAGAAGGACACTTAATGCTGTGGATGTCTGATTAAAAGAATAGTAACTAGTATAAATGAATCTGGTTAAGTCATCTCTTATTCATGACAATTCATAAACAAAATTTTTTTTTTAATGTTTTATTTATTTCTAGGAGAGAGAGAGAGAGAGAGACAGCGTGAGCAGGGGAGGGTCAGAGAGAGAGGGAGTCACAGACTGAAACAGGCTCCAGGCTCTGAGCTGGCAGTCAGCACAGAGCCCGACGAGGGGCTCGAACCCACGAACCGCGAGATCATGACCCAAGCGAAAGTCGGACGCTTAACCGACTAAGCCACCCAGGCGCCCCTCATAAACAAAATTTTAAAGTTTATTGTATCTGGCAATCCTTTTAACAAGAGGCTTTATTACTTTGAGTACTTTAAAAATCCATTTGGCTTTAGACTGACCATGTAATGAGGTACATGCTATTTTCATTAGTTCATAGAATAGATTTTACTAATTGCTGGTTATGAACAAAGCACTATCCTAAACCTGACTAGGAGTCTGGAGATTTGAGAAACCATTCCTGCCCTCAGGAAGAGTATACTTCAGTAAGACAGTAAGACAAATGCAACTCCAAGAAGAAAGTGGAAAATTATATAAGAGGAAACATTCAAGTGCCACACCAATTTGAGAACAACTACATTTTTTTTTTAAACTGACAGCATTTAACCAAGACTTGAAAAAAGGTAGGATTTGGACTCCTGAAATTATGTGTTTGTTGTCCTAGCAAGATGTGTTTTGGATTTATTTTCAAAGTCCAGAAAAACAAAGCCTTTCTTTTCTGTGTTTGAGTCAGTGCTTAAACTTTCTTATAATCTAAAACCTCTTATAGTTTTAAATTAAATTTTAAATAAATTATAAGATATATCTCAATACCTAATAACTCTTCTTCTTTGCCCCACATTCCTTGTTCAAGTTTCAGCAAGAAAAACACTCTTCTTGTTTTGGTAGTGGCAGTTCCCCTAACTTTCATCATGCATTTATTAAGTTTATTTATTTTGAGAGAGAGAGAGAGGAAATGAGTGGGGTAGGAGTAGAGAGAGAGGGAGAGAGAATTCTAAGCAGGCTGTGCACTGACACAGCATAGAGCCTGATGTGGGGCTTGAATTCTTGATTGTGAGATCATGACCAGAGCGGAAATCAAGATTCACATCCTTAACTGATTGAGCTACCCAGGCACCCCATCATCCATTTAACAATAAATACATAACATTTGGTTTTCTTCAGAAGACCTTATTTCTCTCCCTTGCTTTAGAAGTTGGCAAAGCATCAAGACCTGCATATCATTGGTAACACAAAATATTTACTTACCAGATGCTTGCCAAAGATTATAGTCTTGAAATCTGCTGTCTGACCTTAACAAAAAGCCATCGTGAGAAAACTATTTATGGAGATGACCTCAAAGACATAAAATTATAGAGCTCTGTACTTGGACCATACTCTTTTGGTACATTCTATGTGTGCTTTTGGTCTGTAGTTTCCTTGTGGAGTTTTTGTCTGGTTTTGGTTTCAGAGTAATACTGACCTCATAAAATGAGTTGAAAAGTATTCCTTCTTCTTTTCTGGAAGAGTTTGTGAAGAACTGGTGGTGGTGGTGGTGGTGTGTGTGTGTGTGTGTGTGTGTGTGTGTGTGTTTTAATGTTTGGTAGAATTCACCAGTGAAGCCACTTGAGCCTGTGCTTTGTGAATAGTTTTTTGATTACTAATTCATACATTTCATTTGTCATAGGTCTATTTATTCAGATCGTCTGTTCCTTCTTTATTTTCTTTTATTTTAGAGAGAGAGCATGCCCAGGTGGGGGAGAGGGGCAGAGGGAAAGAGAGAGAGAATTGTTAGCAGGCTTTATGCTCATCATGGAGCCCAATGTAGGGCCCAGTCCTATTACCCTGGGATCATGAGCTGAGTCAAAATAAAGAGTTGGACCCTCAACTGACTGAGCCACCCAGGCATCTCAGTCTCTTCCTTCTTGAGTCAGTTTTGTAGTTTTATCAAATTCCTAGAGGAATTTGTCCTTTTCATCCAAGGTGTCTAATGTGTTGGTGTACACTTGTGCCTAGTATTCCTTTATTAAACCTTTATTTCTGGAAGGCTGGTAGTAATGTCTCCTTTTTCATTTCTGATTCATTTTGATGTGCACCTTGTAGGAAATAGCTGCATAAAATTTCTTATCGGGGTAGTGTCATGATGTCATCCCCTATAGTTGTCCATTGATTCCCACAGCAGTTTTTTTTTTGTTTTGTTTTGTTTTGTTTTTTATGTAGGAGGTAGAGGAGACCATTCTCTGATCTCTCAGTGTCATGAAAAGCTGTACATCCCCTGAACAAATAGGACCTTTTAATCCTGTGGGCACTGTGAATCATTTAACAGACTGTTTTCTTGCTTCAGCTGCTAGGAAGAGACTAAGAGTCAAATATGGAATGCCTACTCCGTTAGTTTTCTAGCACTGCTGTAACAAAGTACCACAAACTCATTGGCTTAAATAATGGGAATTTATTCTCTCACAGTTCTAAAGCTTATAAGTCCAAAATCAAGGTGTCAGCAAGGCCATGGTCCCTGTAAAATGAGCAGAGAAAATCCTTCCATGCCTCTTCCTAGCTTGTGGTGGTGACCAGCCATCCTTGCTTTCCCTGCAGCTGTATCACTCCAGTCTCCACCTCTCTTGTCACATGATCTTCTCCTTTGTGTGTCTGTATCCAGGTTTCCTTCTTCTTATAAAGACCCCAGTCATATTGGATTAAGCCCTACTCTCGTGACCTCATCTTAACTTTATGACATCTGTAAATATCCTATTTCCAAATAATAACCCTAGGTTTGGTACCTGGGCTTAGGACATCAACATATCCTTTTCTGGGGGGAATGGTACACAATTCCACTTGTAACACTTACCTACCAATTCCTGTGCCAATCTTTTATTTTCCTTTTGTCCTGATGCCCTGAATTACTTAGTCTTTTTCTTAATTATATGCATCTTGGCAGAATTTGAAGTAAAGAAGGCAGAAAGGAAGGAAGAAAGGAGGGAATAAAAGAGAGAAAGGGAGGGAGGAAGAAAGTTTGCCAAGAAAAATCAGACATGGAACTTGGGGAACAGAGTTGCAGGAATGGGGAATGGGATGGGGAAGACTGACTGGAAAAGTGTTTTCAGAATTACTGTTTTAGGGGAAATGGGAGCAGTGGTTAGTAGCTACCTACAGCTTAGCTGATCTAGAGAAGAGTGGAAGGTAGTTTGAAGAGCTGAGAATTGGGAGAAGGGTATGATTTTAGCTATCTTTAAAAAAATATTTATGTACTTCCTTATTTAATTCCAGTATGGTTAACATATAGTGTTATATTAGTTTCATGTGTACAATACAGCAATTGGACAATTCTGTACATTATTCAGTGCTCATCATGATAAATGCACTCTTAGTCCCCACCTATTTCACCCATCCCTCTACCCACCTCCCCTCTGGAAACCATCAGTTTGTTCTCTATAGTTAAGAGTCTGTTTTGGGTTTGTCTCTTCTTTGTTCATTTGTTTTGTTTCTTGAATTCCACATATGAGTGAAATCACATGGTATTTGTCTTTCTTTGACTTATTTCACTTAGCATTATACTCTCTAGCTCCATCCATGCTGTTGCAAGTGGCAAGATTTCATTCTCATCTAGCTACTTTTTAATACCCATATTAATAGACTTCAGGTTTTGTGGTGCTTGAAAGCTTACACAGTGTTGAGAACCCATGTATTCTAGTTATTGGGAACACAGACCCGTAAATCACTGATTTAATGCATACAGTTTACCCTAGAGGACAGCACCCTACCCTTATAGGATATTATTCTCCAAATGA